TTCCTGCTTGCTGTTTTAAATCATGATTAAATTAAGTTATTTAAATCTCTTTTATTTCAATCAGTACACCCTGCTGGCAAGGAACCACAAGCCTTGGAGATTGGGAGCTGAGGCTACTAGGGCTTTCAGGCTTCTGGCTCCCCATCAGTCTGCCAAATTTATTGCTGAGCTGGCAGGAAAGCAGGCAGGTTGCTGAGGGAAGGCAGAGTTCCCTGGAACTTCGTTGAAATTGAACTGTCTTGGTGAAACATTTCAATTTTGCCCAAGTGTCAAATTCCAACCAGAAAACACATTTAATTGGAATTTTTCCAACCAACTCTGGTCTTGCAGTCCAGCTCAGCACAGACATTCCATCTGAGAGAGAAGAATGGAAAAAGATGCAGAGATGGATATTAGAGAAGTGGACAAATGGGGCATCAGGCTTCCACCATTGTCTGAACGGAGAGAACAATGTGATGAAAGACTAGATCAGATACGTAAGAAGGGTCAAAATTATACATAACCTTGAAGTTAGTCTATGGAACTCATTGCCACAAGATATCATTGAGGAGTAGGTGTTTATATTAGTAATTATTAGATTCAGAATTACATTAGTAAGGCTTTTTAAAAGTTTGGAAGGAATATAATCCCTATGCTTCAGGGCATAACAAATACAGTTAGGAAGAAACATCCCTATGTGCAGGTTATATTCTGCGACTGATTGCTTCAGAAACATCTAGTGTCAGCCATTGTCAAAGACAGGATACTGGACTAAATGGACCACTAGTCTCATGTGTTCCTAGGATAATTAAACATGTTGATATGCAGACAAAGAGCTAGTAGAGGTATTCATAGCACCAGCAATGTGGTTATATTAATGGGCTGGGAATATGATTTAGCAGCTGTGTTTATTACTTGTATTAGAATATAGGGGCTTTGTGTTAACAAATGTACAAGACATCTGAGAGAGAGAGAGAACTTGCAGTGGAATTGAACTAAACAACAGATGTATTGGGGATTTATGGGCACTTGAGCTGGTGGCAAAGCTCAATTGAAGAGCTATGAATCCAGAATGTGACCACCTTTTAGAAATGGTGCAAAATCTTCCTATCTGATAAGTCTTTTCTACAGTAACTAGAATATTGAAAGCATCAGTTGCTCCTCTCTTCCTCCCCACATCTGAAAAACAAATCAAAACCACACACACACACAAATCTATCCAAAACAAAAGCTTTATATAACTCAAAAAGAGAGTAGAGATGAAGACTCCTACGGTTCAAGTCCCC